GTTGTCGAGACTTGCTTTCTTGGATATGTACTTCCATCGACGGAAGAAGGATAATTAACGAAAATCTGAGGAAATACTGCAGCGACGATGTAATGATCTTACCAAAAAAATTACGCTTACGTTTGTTTGTTTTGTCAAATTTAAGGGTTCGTTGGAAATATTCATCTGAATTATGAAATTCGACACGAATTTACGGGGTGACCTAATATTTCTGTTGGAATAAATTCATTTTCGTGTGAAAGTTTTAGCCCTTACTTTGTAAGATTCTGGCGAAGGTGGGATAGAAATAATTTTATCAGTAATAAAGATTAATTTTAATTGTAAATTTAGGTGCAATTTATAAGACTGAGATTTATCATGTTGTTAAGCAGTAGTTCTTCTTCCTTTACATAAAAAATAGTAAAGGAATCATAAGTCAAGTGTGGAATTGGTTTAATAATAATATGTGAGGGATGGCGTGAATGTAGTGAGTATATCGTATGATCTCGAGATTTGGTAAACGAGCGGATCATACAGGGTAACTGGGGGTAAAAACAGGTGAAGCGCGTTGTTATTGATATCTGAGAGTACGTGAAAATTTATTGCGAGATATATTTAGAGAGGGACAATCAAATTATCATTATTTCTTTTTACGTGTGTATATAGTTATTGTTAAAAAATATATTCCTATTTAACTTATTAATAAGTGTTATACAACCACATCAAGGGGTTAAATTACTTGCAAGGGACACAACACGAAACTAAATATTTACTATGGACGACGTGTAACATGTGATGTACTATGTACACTGTCGTTTACAAATATTGGGATACCTGTTACGTTCGTACAGAAGGAACTGTGTGATTTGAATTATGTTTCTTCTCTAAAGTTAATATCGTATATAAATAAAAATATACTACTATGTTCCAGACTGAATAATTTGTTTCAGAATCTTAATAATTTCGTAATGATTGTTTAGATTCACTTTTTCGATATTTTATTACACAGAACTTGCTTAAGCATTCGTGGAAATGTAAAAATGAAACAATAACACATCGAAACTATCTCGTCTCTGTGTGTACAAACTAGAACGTCCATCTGTATGTTCTCTATTAACTCCTGAACCCTTTGAGCGATCTGGACCAAGTTTGGCAAAGTAATTATCACAAACTGCCAAGGGGATGAAATCAGGGGAAGCGGGGTGGAGTGTCGAGGTTCCACGATGACCTATATTTTCCACGGAGACCTACGGAGTAACTATGCGAAATTTGGTCCAGATCGATCAAAGGGTGTAGCAGTTAATGGGAAACACACAGACGAATATTAGATAATCGGAACAATTTTTCTCCAACTTCGAACACGTTCGTAACTTCTAACAACAGACGTTCCAATTTAATTCTACATTAACTTCGTCGAACAGAAAGAAAGAGAGTGCTCGATCAAGGAAGCCAGCACAGTCGCGGCAGAGAGAATCAGATACTACAATAATAACGATTAATTAACGCTTAGCGTACGATCGCAATACGAGAGAGAGAGAGAGAGAAAGCATGAAACAATTTGCTCCAATCGACGGCTACTACAATAATAACGATTAATTAACGCTTAGCGTACGATCGCAATACGAGAGAGAGAGAGAGAAAGCATGAAACAATTTGCTCCAGTCGACGGTTCATCCATTATTACGATCAAGGGATCCGACGTTCTACCTGTGAAAAAGTCGCGAAAGAGATAGCCGAGTAGAAGTCCACGGGGCGAACTTACTTCTGCAGCTTCATAACTCAACTGATTTATTCATTGAACATTCGAAGAAGTTCGCCAACCGTGGAGAGAGAGAGAGAGAGTTTTAGTCCGTGACAACGAGACAGAAAGTACGAGTGCATTGCCGAAGAAATTTGTATTCTCTTTTCGTACAATTAACCCGATTTATTTTCACGAGAGCACGTCCTATCTCGGTGTTCTGCCCATGGCTGCATGTACCGTGGATAAAATTCATCCACAAAAAGGCACTCTAATCCCAGAAGCGGATCGAAGCAAGCAGGCATCGGAACGTTCTCGCTGGGAAGAAAGCAGGGAAGAACGGAACACCGATTCTTCGACGAACAACGAAATCGCGCTTATTGTCCGCGATAATTCAGCTCAATTACACCGGTACATAGCAGAGAGTCGTTAGCCGTGAAACAAAAAAAGTTCGCGCGGGGGGATGGACCGAACGAGGGGAAAATCGTGGACGAAGGAAAAGGAGAAGTACAGCCCTAGGTGGGGTAGATGGAAACAAGCAACGGGAAGGATACTACGAGGCGCATTAGCGATTCCGCGCGAGTCGCCGGCTAGGCGAGCAGCGACGAGTATGTAAATACGCGTGCACATGGATGCGAGAAAATTGAGCGGATGTGAGTAAATGATGGTACGTGACCGATCTTAGGAGAGCGTCGAAAGAGGAAAGATCTTGTAACGCGGCCAGAAGATGCAAGGCCTTGCTTAGCAACCGGCTAGATAGTTGAAAGTAGAAGAAAAAAGAGCTACACGGTTCTTTGCACACGTGAAACACTCTCCGACAAAATGTCTCGCGGTGAATCTTCCTTTATCTTCCCTTTCGAGAGAGTGAAATCGACGAAGAAGCACACGGCTCGAGATAAGCGGCGTACTCGTTAGGAATTTATCAGAAAATGCCGGAGCACCGGAATAGCAGATTCCGGGTATTTCGTCGATAAGTTCGAGCTTCTTTTTTTCACGGCGGTGTAAGATTCGCCTGTATCGATAATAAGCTTTCCACGAGCTTTCCACGCGTACGTTATTTCAAGCAGGAGGACGAGAATCGGTCGAGTTAAAAATTTCGTCGTACGTTTTTATTGGCCGATTCAAAGAAGCTTCCGCGGCGGATGCGAGACCCCTTTGCTATTCACTCGTATCGGGCACATTGTACCTCGCAAAATTCAATTTGCCCTCGAACTGTTCCGCGAATTTCTTTTACGATCGCCGAGCGTGGCGCGCCTTCTCGATCGTATCGATACGAGAGTGCTACAAAGGCATCCGTGATGTTCAATGTTGGAAAAGTATTATGTATTTTTGGAATAATACCACGCTTTTCGAATATATCTCTTCTTAATTTGCCCGAACGATTTTCGACGTTCTTCGTCGATATTGAGAACGCGAGAATCGAAACAACGAACCGTTATGGAAAGTTGTCACAATAGAGACATCGTTTCTGAACGCTTCGATTTTCGCAATTTAACCACCAGGCTGCCAACGGCAACGCGGGGCGAACTTAAAATCGCGCTAATTAATTAGGATCGCGTGCTCCTGACAAATGATCAATGTATCCATTGAATTATAGATAAATTGGCACGCGGACGTTGTTATCGACAAGTCTAAGTATAGGTAGGAAACGGCTGTTATTCGACGTCAAGCGTGCTTACTCGCCTCGATTCATGATCACTTCCCATCACATCGCGTCAACGTTTTCATTCGTCCAGTTTTCCTCGCGGCTGTGCACGTCCAGGGATAAATTCATTTTCGATCGCACGGCCATTGAAGAAATATCAACAACCGTTTATTTGCAACGATGTATAATCGTTTCAGACCGATGGAACATGTTCTTTCCTTTTTTTTTTCTTCCCTTTAAACTTCGTCGAATAAAACGACCGAAACCTGTTGGCTAGTTTTGCGTGAAAGATTTTCACGCAAATAAGTATCTATTTGCTGGCACTTACCGTGCAATTTCAACGTAATTGCGAAATTAGAACGTATACAAGGTAACAACCTAACTGCCAACATTTCTGACGCTGCTGTTCTAAAATTGCACGATAGACCAAAATAGAAACATTTTTTCATTTTTTTTTTTCATCCAAGGGGGGAAAAATTTTCGTTACCACTTTGCAATTTCAAGGTTCGACTTTTGAAAAAAAGTGTAATAACAGTGGTGAATATATTGCACGCTGTGTATCTTGCGTCAGTGTTTCACTCATTTTGCCTTATTGTTCGAGAATAATCATTTTTATAATTGAATAATGTATGCTGTTTGTTTCATGCACACGTGGAGCAGAATAACCTAACCTGCATAAAGGTAAGATATTGCGAATTGTATTACATTCGGTATATCAGAAGAATTCCTTTAAAAAAAAAATGGAAGAATAGTCGCGTCATTTTATCAACCACGAAACACCGCGAATTAAGCCACAATTTGCAGAAAATCGCTGTGGCGAAGATTGAACGTTAACGTTTTAATTTCAGGACTTAGACTTATCGGTAGCTACGTAATTAATCAGACTGCTGTCAAGTTTCGTACCTGTAAATTACCAACGAAGTGGAAATAACGAAGGAGTTGCGAAACCGAGTACAATTTGCAAACAATACTGCTTTATTATTAAGATTAAACCCAGCAAAATTTACCCGACAGCTCGCTACAACCGCACCCTTGAATAATTCAAAATTTCATTCTTAGAAAAGTCAAATTTTCAAGAAAAAAGAATTCGCGTAAATCTGGAAGTGCGCACCTTAATTAGATCGCTTAATCTCACCTGAGCTAGATGACGAGCAGTCTCGCGGCGCCACACACACGCGGAACAGGACTGGTTTGCTGGTGAACGGCTCTAGAACGACGTCTCGTAAAATCTTGTAAGGATATTGGCTATCCTAAACAGAAGAACGCACAGTCACGACGCGTCGTCGCTAGAATGGTACCCTTTGCACCTCTTCTGCTTCTCTCGCGACTCGCGAAATACAAATGCCCGGAGAACAGAGGCGTCAATTTGCCGTGAATTCGCGAACGCGTGCACGATACCTCGTTTCTTTGACACGTTCGATCAGGCAGCACGATTTTCCCATTTACGATCGGGAAATTTTCAGCGAGGAACCCTTTGCTTCTCGTAAGCGACGATTTTCCTATCGATTCGCGGGAATTTCATCTCATTTGCGCGACACTCGGTAGGCTGTTCAAATTTGTCGGAAATCTGTATTCGAGGAATTTTCGCGCATCGGTATGAAAGTGATACGTTTGGTTTCCCCCTGTTGGATATTCCAGACTGAGACGTCGCTGATGTACGACGCTGTTCACCTGTTTGCGAAGGCGCTGCACGATCTGGACACGTCCCAGCAGATAGACATCAAGCCACTGTCCTGCGAGTCTACGGACACCTGGCCGCACGGATATTCCCTCATAAACTACATGAGAATTGTGAGTAAGCTGAGGTATTATTAAGTTGTCGGGAAAGGTCGTGTGTGATTTTTTAGAGGTGCTGTTTGATTACCTTGGAATAAGAAAAATTCGACGGAAATGTGTGAAGTTCGCTTTTATTTTTTTGAAAGTCTATTCGTTAAAATTATTAATGTTTTCTCAGAATTCCACTGTTTTAAAGATGGAAGAAAATAGTCTGCCATAATCCCGCACCGTGACGATTGTTTAAAAAATTTCACGTGAAAATTGCATTTTTTCGAGAAGAAAAGAAACTGTCACTATAGAATTTTCCACAAATTTCAACTAAAATCTTCAAATATCACAGAATACTAAAGTCTAACAGTTTCCAGCAAATAGTCTTAGAAAATGAAGAAACGGTATTAGAAAACTCAAGCGCAAAAAACGAGAGAATTTCTCTTAAATTGAAAATACGTCAGTTTGCATTGAGCGTACGGAAATCTTATTTGGCGCGTTCCAATTGTTCGTCTGAGAAGAACCTGTCACGTTTGTTCGTCCCACGATTGTCCGCGGTGTTCAAAGAGCGGGTTGCCCGCGATGTCACGACAACGGTGGAAAAATTCCATCGGAGCCTTAATCCTATCGCGATATGGTTGAAAAGGGTCCAATTGAAAACGAGTAGAACGATCAGGGAACGATGTTCGCGTCACGATGACGTCGCCAACTCGACGCTCCTATGGGAGCGTACAGCCTATGACGTAATTGGAAGAGGGAAAGAAAGGGGTGCCTGCAGTGGGACGCGGGAATTAAGTTATCGAGTTAACTTGCTGCTTTCGAAGCTGCAGCAATTTTTTC